GGCTTTCAGAATTCATTACAGTTGATAACCTTGGAAAGGAGTAGCAGCTACCAAGTTAAAAACCACTCTCTTAAATTCATCATCTTAGACCAAGTGACATGAGTAGGAAATATCAAATGTACCACACAATGACATTTTATAGAAGAACACTTTACAGAAAAAAAACCTGTTTAAGAGACGTAAGTGACAGGTCATGTTCCATTTAAGTAGCAGTCATTACTAAGCATGCTTATTATCTGCAATTTTTCTTTGATTACCAATGTCTAAACAAAAGAAACTTAACCAGAAACATTTTGAAAAGACGCAGAGGAAATATGAATGGTAACTTCAAAATGGATGGGTGGGTGGAGATAGGGAGGCTTACTGACTTTCTTACTGAAGAGACTCAGCAATGATGACAAGCTCCCTCTGAACGATTTCTCACCTTTTCCTAACGTGATTATTCCTCTTAGTGTTTTCCAGTGACTTTTCTTGACAGGACAAACAGAGTTTCCGCTGTCTCTTATTGTATTCTTGGCTTTTTCGAGGTCCTGTTGAAATAAATCCAAAGGGAAATTCAAGGGTGGTTTTATTTTAATCATCTGTTAATAGTATAGTGATAATGAATATTAAAATACCTCTTCCTTCAGTTGGTTCTCAATTTCAGAGCCAGCAAGATATTGAGGCGAGGAAGAAAATTTATTTCTTTCCTTGTAGGAAAATACAGGGTTCTGAGTGACAAGAAAAACAATATGTTCTTTTTTACCAGTTCTTTCTTCTTCCTCTGTTTGATTGACTATTTCCATTGAAATCTCAGTGTTAAAAAAATCCAGAGCTGCTGCACCAATGATTCCTGAAGGGGAAACAAAAGACAACGTAACGCCAAGAACAAACCCTTTCCCTTTTCCCTTTTAGAGAGCCCACAGTGGAATTTCACTGTTTCAGAAAGCACTTTTCCGAAGGACTCTGGAAGAGGAAATCAACCTGCTATTTCCTATGTCGTTCCTACTACCGTTGCCATGATAAGAATATGTGCATAGGAGATAAGCTTTAAAGTTACTGTTTCTTTTGTCTTGTCTGATGACAAATGCTTATTTTCACTAGAATAAGCTCAGCAGGATATCAGAAGAATGTGTCCAAATAGTCATACATAGCAATAATATGAATTCCCATTAACCCAAAAAATGCACGGGGTCTCAGGAGATTCTGCTACAACAATCTGTTTCAGTCTTTGCAGAATATTTTCTTTTGAGAGGAAGGAAATCTCTTTTAGGAAGACGCACAATCAGTCTTCTCATTTCTGCTTAGCTATGAGGCGACATACTGGACAATGACATAAAAAGCTCTGTCTGAAATTCCAGATAGTTCTGTGTTTCAATAGGAATGTGAAATGAGTTTTGACAAAGGGGGAAGTTTTGATAAAATTCTAAATTCAGCAGCATCTATGAAAGAAAGGATCACCTCTTACAGACTTGCAGCTGCTTAACCCTTGCACAAGTACAACTGTGGAGATTTCCTGTAAATGCCAGAAAAAGATTCAGTTTTGAGCAGGCTTCAATAGCAGTTTTACAGATTACATGTACTGCAGGAGTACTTATTACAGGATGGATGGATGTCTTCAAATCAACTACAATTTGTACTTCACCGTAATTTAAGGAGTATGAGTTACTGAGAACTAATCAACAGGTAGATACAATATACACCATGAACTTCAATTTTCCTTCCAGGAAAGGAATTCTATAGGAGGAACCAACACTTATGGCCTGGGTTGTCATATTGTAAATGTTTCTGAAGCCACCGGGAGTTAGGAGTGATCAGGCAGTCAGGGAAATACCAAGGTCAGATGTCTGGTGACTAAACTCTACCGGGCTTCAATTCCATGGCCAGTCCTTATCTGAAAAAAGATTCTGAAACCAGAGCAAAGGATGTCTGCAAATGTATGATTACCCTGTATATATTGCATTACCAGCTGATCTGTACTCTGTATTCTATCTGGTTACCTGGCACAATATGGCACAGACCTCTTCTATCTGAATAGTAATGTAAATGCATTGACCCGTCTTCATTCTTTTCTACTCTAAAAGATGGGGCATTCATCTCCTGAGGAAAAACAAACACAAACAAAACTTCAGTGTCTTTTGCTGGTGAATTCCACTTGTACAAAAGCATCCTATGTCTTGATAAAATAGGCAGTAATCTGAATAAGCTGAAATATGCTCATTTGTGAAGGAAAATCTACTACACGTTAGAGCCAAAGTATTAAATAATACGTCATGTTGAGGAATACTCAGAAAAAAAAAAATATAAAAAAATGTCCTAACATTTTGGAGTAATCCGTTTCAGAACACAGGAGAGCCTGTTATAGCATCTTTTTCCATTATTCGTTCACATCTGTGAGATGATGTTCCTTCTGTTGTAAACTCTGGCAGAGTCCACCCATACCTGCTCAGTAATTACTACTCGAACTTGCCTGGTAAGAAAGCGACAGGTAGCTGTGCAACGCATCCAGGTTCTCTATGAACTCATACAGATTTCCACCCAGTGTCCTCAGCATGTGGTCATAGCCTGAGCGTTTACAGAATTCAAAGAAGTACTCTCCAAACTCTCTCAGAACCATGTCAGCACTAGCAAAATCAAGATACCTTAATGAGTAAGAAAGGCTTGGAAGTTCTTGAAATGCTCTCAGGAGGATTTAGAGTGAATGCAGAACATTTGCAACATAGGGAGGACATTCCAAACAGCACAGGAGAGTAAAACCTGGGCTGCAGCCGCAGGCTTGACCCAGGATGGCTCATTTTTGAGGCACGGTGACACACACCTAATATTTTGCAGGCTTTGTCGACAAGCTGCATTGTGATCTCATCTTTGTAAACCTCAAAAGTCAAGAAGGAATCCTGGACTCCGGCCTGCAGTCTGCAATAGAGAAGACAATATTCTAGCCACAGCAGTGTGGTAAATATAACATGCTTGGGTGACCCAACTGGCAATCATTAAGCACTGTTTGCTGTTAACGTCCTTAACCTCCTTCAGGTGTTACATTGGAACACACTACTTCCCCTAATGCTTTAAGAGCGTTGTTTTAACGTGGTTGAATAGTGGTGTCCACCTCTCTGTTTCTGCTGTTCCAGCGACTGGTATTATAGCAAACCCTTTCAAGGATTACGGGGTGATACTGGGGGATGGTAGAGCAAATGGAGTCTTAGTTTGTCTTCTGGTCTACTGGCTTGTTGTTCAATGTGGCCACAATATCAGGTTCTTGGGTCTCCACAGACTTGACTGAAAACTTGTTGAATTTTTATACTGGCTTCAATGGCTACTGTATGTATGTATGTAAGTACCATTTTATCTTTATCTCTTGGAAAATGCCACAAAGCTCATAAAGTAATGAAAAAACCAGACATTATGTATTTAGCTGCTTTTCTGAAGGTACTGGAATTAAACTGACTTCATACCAAGGAAGACATCTTTTCAGGGTAATTACTTTTCAGTATTGTCACAGTGAGCCAGTGAGTCTATTGCACAGTTGTCTCTAAGACTAAATGTCATCCTTAATTATCCGATACAAAAAATTAATTGGGATAAATCAGTATCAGAGTACGAAGTGTTACAAGGTAAGAAACTCTTGCTTTTGCCCTGCTAGTTACTTCTAATAATTACCTGAGATAGACGTCAGCTGCCATTGACCAGTGAATGCTACTAAATTCCTGAGCATTTTCTTTCAATACACTACATTTACTGGGAACATGTTACCTTAATTTTTCCCATGTTTCTTCACCATACTTTTCAACCACCAATGACTTCAGGCATGTATTTATAAATCCATACTGCAAAAGCAAATATATGAACATGGAAAAGACATACTGATTTTCGAAATGCGCCCCAAATCCCGCTTTTTTGTATTTAAGATTCCACTGCTAATTTTATATCGCGAAAGAGAAAGCAATAATGCGTGACAGCCATTACGTCTTTCGGCAAACAGCACGGCCTTTATCTCAGCATTTCACAAGCGTACGGCGAAACAGAGCAAACACATTCAATCCTGTTTTGCAGACAAGGACCCAGAGCCGCCAGGTCCGGGATCTGCTGTGCCATGCACGCCGCCCAGAGCACGGCCCCTGCGGCGGCTGGAACAGCAGCCACGCACGGCTGCAGCACAGGCGGTAAGTTCGGCTTTGCCGTGACCCTTACGGGCTTAGTGCTGGCAGACCGTACACCGGAGACGGGGGGAAGCCCGCTAAAAGGATAAC